CCCCAAAACCCCAAAACCCCAAAACCCCTCAAGCACAAATTTGAACTTTACCATACTCCAAACCCTTCTCAAAATCTAGCTCTGCAGTTATCCCTCTCCTAAGTCCACTTCTACATCTAGCCAAGGCAGCCTAGTCCAAGCCAGGGAAGGCATTCAACCAAGCCAAAGCTTGGCAAGAAGAGAAGGCTGAGCTAAAATATCTGCACTAGGAGAAGACAAAAGTTTCTTGGGCGTAGTCGGGAGTGTTGGGAAGTGTACTAATTAGAGACAGACTTTTGAGATTTCTCTTGAGATTGAGTTAGAAATGCTAAAAAGACCTTATTCCCTCTCCAAATTATGTTTCCAGCGCTTCTAAACCATCTTTCCAACCATTTCTTCAACTCTTCCACTAGAAACCCCTTCTAAAACACCTCTACCCGAATCCCATTCAAATTTCCCCCAAATATTTACCTTCACACCCTCCAAAACCACCTCGACTACCACTCAACCCCCTCTAGACTAAATCTCCACCCAGATTTGACCAAAAAGAATTTAGCTTAAATTTTCAATAAATTTAAATTTTTGAAAACTTAAGAATTACATCGAATGGTTCAAAATCTTCATGGAGTCTAATCCGAACTTGTCTAGGGTCTCTCTTACTTGGGAATGCGACATCCCTCATTTGTTTAAGTAGATTTCAATAGGATTTTTCCTTAAATTTTTGATACATGAAAGCCCTTCGATGAGGTTTATAAATCTTTCGGGTGATTTTGCCAATCTCAGAATTCTGGAAGACCTCATTCATCGAGATTTATTGTTTGAACCTTTGAATATTTTAAGGAATATTGGAAATTAGGAACTAGATCTAACTCAAGTTTACAAAATCACAAACCTACATTTATAATACTCTTGTTGATAGTTTGAAAAATGACTCCAACTGGAATTGACCAAGATCAAACTTATAGAGAAACAGGCCTTCGGAGATCTTCGGGTTGATGTCTAGAATGATATCAGCAAATTCATCATAATTAATCATTTCTCCTTGATGGTTAAAATGAAATCTTCCTACTTTAGCTGGGAAGAAAGAATAAAGGAATTCTTTTACCAATCTGATATCAATATGAGCATTTTTGATAACTAGTTTAGGAATATTTGGGATAATATGGCCTCGGATCTTTCTAATAAATTCAACATCTTCAGCACACTTAAGACCCAATCTCAAATCTATATCTTCTTAAGTGTTAGACTCTTTCCTGTTATAAGCTTATAAATATTCTTTAGGTCTGTTTTGGTGGAAAACTTTATGCTTGAAATAGTCCCTTCATTAAATTCAGTAAACTTTGCTTCAACCTTTTCAAGCTCATCTTTGGCCTGAATGGATTGGATATCATATGAGGTTTGCTCCCTTCCTTTGCGGATAAATCTTTCAATCTTCTTTCTATCAATCGAGAGGAAATCTCATACAAGGCTTAAGTAATGTTTCACACAAAACTCTCTGAAATGGTGACTGTTTCGGATCGTCGAAATGATAGTAAAGATTTGTTGCTCGATTGATTCATATCTTTCCAGTTGATTATTATCAATGCATGAATCAAGCTCTTTGGATGTTTCTGTCACTCTCCTTTGAATATCATTCACTAGCATTATTGATTCTTCTTGGAGGCTTGGGTCTTCTCCTTAGTCTAACTCTAGTTTAAAATTTATAATACATTTCTTCACTACATCAAGTGCTTCTTGGGCTCCATTCACATTACCAATTTTAACAAAATGATCTTTCTGACTCGGCTGGAAGTGCTCTTCACAAATATAAATAGTGGTTCCTCTGTACACATAAGAAGCCTGCTGGCTTCAGTCTTGGGCTTCTCACTTGAATGCTGATTCCATCTTTAGTTTAAACTAATAACTTCCTTAACTATAAGACATAGATTCAGCTCTAGAAGTTCACTTCATGATTTAAATTTTAATTATTCAGCATTTTGAATGCATTTGGGGTTTTGGGGTTTTGGGGTTTTGGGG